CGAGTATGATGTGCACATGTGAAGATTCCCGTTTCGACATCACTTGTCTACTCCTTCCTCTTCCTTACTCAGAACCACTCATATCAAGCCAGGCACGCATACCCAGACTCGCTCGAAGTCAATCATATTCACTCATATCCAGACCCGCTCGCAGTCAGAGCCGCTCAGACTCAAGACTGGAACACACCCAGACTCAGTCACAATCAGATTTGCTCACGCACAAACTCACCAACACTCACAATCAGACTCGCTCCTCTTCCCCATTCAAAACCACGCATGCTCATCATCATTCTCACACGCACACACAAACACATTGTGAGGATGTCTCAAACGAGGCGGTGGCTTCAACACTCCCAATGGGGAGCCGCCGAGGTATTTCACGGGCCCGTTCGCGCCCAGATTGTGGGGAGGTCCCAAGCTGTTTGCCTGTTTCTGCCCTCCAACCTTCTCTTTGTTGGTGGCACCCTGCTCCCCGAGATAAATCAGGCGAGGCTTTCGGGCACCCCAAGGGGGAGCGCAGCCAGGGGGTGTTGCACGGGCGCCTCCGCGCCCAGATTGTGGGGATGCCTCAGGCGGTTTGCTTGTTTTTGGCCCCGCAAAGTTCTCTCCGTTGGCAGTCCGTTGGTGGCACTTGGGCACCCCAAGGGGGAGCCTCCAGAGGTGGGGGCACGCCACGATTCACGGTCAGATTATGGGGTTGTCTCAGGCGGGTTGTTTGTTCCTGCCCCCCCGGACTTATCTTTGGATGTGTGTGGCTCTCACTCACTTACACAGTGGCTCACCCACGGGCTCAGTCACCCACTCGTTCATTCACTCTCCTCTTCCGCACGCACCTCTTCCTCTTCTCATCCAGACTCATTCATCGCATTCAAACCCACCCATACCCAGACTCGCTCACACACAGAATCACTCACATTTCTACTCACCCATATTCAGACGAACTCAAAATCAGACTCACTCACACCCAAACAATATGTAGCATGTGGTTGCTGCGGACAAGAGTGATGTGACGGCGGGGCCGCCAGCAGCAAGGCTCCGACGAAGCCCGCCAGAGGCGCCGATTTTGAAACAAAATGTACAACGGGCCCGCCGCAGGCGCCCACTCTTCGTCAAAGAATATGGGTGGGTCGCGGGTGGGTCGCGGACTGGTCGCGGGTAAGTCGCGGGTGGGTCGCGTGTAAAGCGCGGGTGTGTCGCGGGTGGGTCGTGGGCGGGTCGCGGGAGGGTCGCGGGCGGGTCGCGGGGTGGGTCGCGGGTGGGTCGCGGGTGGGTCACGGGTGGGTTGCGGGTAGGTCGCGGGTGGGTCGCGACAGGGTCGCGGGCCGCGGGTGGGGCGACGACGACAACAAACAACAAACAACAAACAACAAGCAACGCAACAACAACAACAACAACGATGACGCCAGCAACAGCAGCAACAACAACGACGATATCAGCAACACCAATCATTGTTTAAGACTGTTCGCTCCTATCTGCCCACGTGCCAATCAATACGTATACCCCGAACCCTCGGTACCAGCCCTCGTCGTCTTCGATCGTACCCCCTTGGGGGTATATCTTCCTTACCTGCCACGCGCTTTTAGTGCAGCCCCTAAAACAAGGGAAGAGAGGAAGGGTGGAAGGAGGTGGGAGAATAATGGAGCATGAGAGAAATTAGCAGAAGGGGGGCAGGGAGCAGAAAACAAGTGGTAGAACCAGACGGGCAGATCGGGTGGGCAGACCCATAGCGGGCAGGTCGGGAAGGCAGGCCCAGGCGACGAGGTCGAGCAGGCGGGTTGCTGAAGCGTGGGTCCTGCATGAATCGCGAGCAGGTCTCGAGCGATAACGCGACTCCTAAGTAAATCGCGAGAAAAGCCAGCGTGGGCCACGAAGGGCATGAAATCCGAGGCCGCAGAGGGCAGCGACGGGACCGCTGAGGGCAGCACCGGGGCCACGAAGGGCAGCGAGGGGGCCACAAAAGACGACAGTGGGGCCACGAAGGGCATGCATATGGGGCCACGACGGCCGCGCGCGAGTGGGGGCCACGAATGGCATTTGCATACGGGGCCGCAAAGAGCGACAGCGGGGCCACTGAGGGCAGCAAAGGGGCCACGAAGGGCAGCGAAAGGACCACGCAGGGCGACAGCGAGGCTACAAAGGGCATGCGTATATGGGGCCACGACGGGCGCGTGCGAGCGGGGGCCACGAAGGGCATATAATGCGGGGCCACAAGGGGCAGCGACGGAGCCACTGAGGGCAGTAACGGGGCCACGAAGGGCAGCGAGCGAAGGCGACCGCGGAACCAGTACGGGCAGCGAGGGGCATCGAAGGCGGGCGAAGGGCAGCGAGCGGCGACTGCAGTCATTAACGGGCTGGTCGGGCGGGCAGGCCCCGACGGGCGGGTCGAGCGGGCGGGTCGTTGAAGCGCAAGTCCTGCTTGAACCGCCAGGGAATATGCAGCGGGAGCGCGATTCCTGAGCGTCGAAGACCGGCATCTGAATCAATTGTGAGGAAACGTCAAGCGAAGCGGTTCGGTGGTAAGTTGCGAGGAAGTCCCAAGCGAGAACGCGATTCCCAAATAAATTGTCAAGCAGTATCAAGCAGGAGCCGCGATTCGGTGGCAAATTGCCAGAACGTCCAAAGCGAGAGCGAAATTCTTCAAGAAATTGTGAGGGAGTATCAGGCGGGAGCCGTTGTCGTTGTTGTTGTTGTTGTTGTAAACCAGGGGCCAACGACACAGTTTGAGCCTCAAGACTTCCCCTGCTAACAAACAGGGTGCGAGCCCCGGGACAGGCATTTCAATCGAAGAAATTAGATGTGCGCCGGGCGGGGGAATCAACAATAATTATTCTTCAGAAATAAGAGTTCAACAACGCAACAACAACCACAACAACAGCAGCACCAACAACAACATCAACACCAACAATCATCTTAATATTGTTCACTCTTATCTGCTCGAATGTCTGTTAACGAATATTTCCCAAACCCTCGATACCCGCCCTCTCCGTCTTTAATTGTACCCTTCTTGGTGGGTGTACCTTTCTTCCCTGCAGGCCGGGCCCCGGCAAGCGGCGGGGCGGCCGCAAACCGTCGGCCTGGCCAACGGCAGCGCTGACCGGCGGCAACCCGACCCCAAGAGGGACGGACAGGGGACCGACCACGACGACGATGACGACGACGACGACGACGACGATGACGTAGACGACGACGGCGACGACGACGACCGAAAGCGAGAGCGATAGAGAGAACGACAGCAGGGCCACGAAGGGCACGAAGTAGGCCACGAAGGGCGACAGCGGGGACACGAAGGGAATGCGTATGGAGCCACGAAGAGCGTGAACGAACGGGGGCCACGAATGGCGGATGCTGCGGGGCCACAGAAGGCAACGACGGGGCCACTGAGGGCAGCACCGCGGCCACGAAGGGCAGCGAGGGGGCCACGAAAGACGACAGCGGGGCCACGAAGGGCATGCATATGGGGCCACGACGGCCGCGCGCGAGCGGGGGCCACGAAAGGCATACGTACCTATACGACCACCCTTCGGGTGATAAGGAGGGTCGGGGGGGGAGGAACCAACGTCTCATTCGATCGGTCTCACGATCGATCTTTCTATCGATCTCACTATCGGTCTCGCTCGATCGATCTCACTCGATCAATCTCACAATCGATATCACTCGATCTGTTTCATTCGATCGATCTCGCAATCGATCTGACTATCGATCTCACAATCGATCTCACTATCGATCCCACTATCGATCCCACGATCGATCTCACATTCGGTCTAACTATCGATCTCACTATCGATATCACAACCGAGATCCCAATCAACGTCTGGAACTAACTATCATCATATCATCGACCGATCTAACTATCATCATCATATGGTTCCGCCTTGAATGTCTGGGCTGGGGTCGCCACCGCGCCTACACGACCCGAACCTCCCATACTTGCTAGGCTCTCGAAAGTCAAGCGGGCACGGGTCGGTCGACGGATCGAGGAGCCCTCGAGCGTTCAGAGGACCCGTGGCACGGGCCCACGCACCTTCTCTGTCGAGCGGTGGGAACGACTGCCAACCGACACTCGACGACGACGACGACGACGACGACGACGACGACGACGACCACGACGACGACGACGACCACGACGACGACGACCACGACGACGACGACGACGACGACCACCACCACCACCACCACCACGACGACGACGACGAGGGAGTGCGCGGCGAGGCTCGACAGGAAATCTGCACTTCACGCATGTCGGGACTCCCCTGCACGCATCTTCGGCCCAGAGCTGGTTCAAAGGGCGGCGGAGGGGGGAAAGAGAACTGCCGTGCCAGTGAACCTGCCAGAGTCTGGAATAAAACGTTCTCCAGGGAGGCCGAGGCCGCCCTAGCTTTCCCATTCGGGCGGCACCTCCTGCCTCAGATGGGCAGACAACTGGGTCCCAGGGCGAGTCCAGCACGCCCCGAGACGCCCCGAGGGGCACCACTCGAACGGCCACCCGAGACCACCCCGGGGCGAAAGCATCGGGCGCTCGTCGACGGGGAGGAGGTGCGGTCAGCAACGGCCAGCAGCTTGTGCTCGGCGACGGCCCCGGCGACACGCCGTGCCCTGCGAGCTCGGCGGGAGGCCGGGAGAGGCTCGGGCTCGGGGACCGGGGCGTGGTCAGCGAGTCGCGTCGAAGCGTGATGGGCCGGAGCCGGCGGCGCGACGCGCTACGCAAACGTCTCTGACCGTGAACGGGTGGTGAAGAGACGCGCACCTTTCCAACGCACGTTGGGCTCGCAGTGGCAGTTCAGAGGCCGTCTCGGGCATCGTTTGGGGCCACTCTCATGAAACCCTCGATGCCGCCACGTTCATCCCCCCGTGGCCACCAAGCGCCCGAGCGTGCTCAGCCGGCTCCATGATAGCTCTGCCGGGTCTCTCTCTCTGTTTCTGGGCTCGGCGGAGCCGCCGCGCCCAGAACGGATCCAAAAGCGTGGTGGGGGCCCGCCGTGGGGGACCGTGGTAGCACAGGCAGACACGCAAGAGCACCAAGACGGTCCCAGCAGACACCGATAGCCTCCCAGGACGGCCCGAAAGGACCACCAGACGATCCAGGCAAGAGCTGAAATGCTGCCAGAATGCCCAACACCCACACACGATACGCTACCACATCCAGCCGTGCTGATGCGAAGCGTCGTCTGCAATCTGGAAGCTGGCGGGCAATCAACTTCCGATGCCCCAGCTGGCCGTCATGTACTGCAAAACGGCTTAGGACCGCGGACTCAAAAAAAGCTGGCGGGATTCATCCGTTGCAGAACCTCTTGAAACCTCCGTCGGTCTATGCACAGCACTTCCGAGCACTCCATCGCTATCACCGTGTCTCTGCTGAACACATTCTGCCCCGGATCGGCGAACAGGCAATGCTCGTCCACGACTTGAAGGGGGGCGCTGGTCTGAGTCGACGACAGTGTAATGCGTGGGAGCTTTGATGAAGTGGTCGCCCGAGATTCCTCACGGAGGGGCACATAGACCTGAATGGCACCTCTCATGAGCACGTAAGCGGTCTCTGCGTCACTGCCCTTCTCGGTGACTTTATCGCCGGTCAGATAATCCACAGCCTGGGTGCAACCACAGACTCGTCGCAGGGCCGACTCGGACCAGTCCTGGAAGCGTGAGATCTTCCTAAGATGGGGGGTCACGCAAGCGTTTCTTATCTGCAGCTTCAGCCCCTCGGGCAGGACGTTCAGCAGGCCCGCCTCCTTGGCATGGAGCTTCCTCTTCTGGAAGAGGTGCATCAAGTATGCCTGCGCGCGCAGCTGCAACGAAGTCCCACATTCGGTCTCTCTCAGGTGCATGCGGAGGTAGGCCATTTCCTCCTTGAACGCTTCTCTGCGTGCGCTGAACTTGAACCATGCCTGCGTAAGGCGGGCGACGTTGATGGCGAAGGCCAGGATAGCAAAGAACATGAAGATAAGCACGAAGACTCGCTCTACCTGATTGACGGGCGTGACCTCAGCAGGCATGGTGCGCATCACTCCAAGGATCCAGTAGAAGCAAAAAGCGTACTGCTCGGACGCGGGCCTTTGCACCCACGTCCAAACTCCAAAATCGTCGTGGGTGCTGTGCCGGCGTGGCAGTTCCGTCCAATGGAGCCCGTCCGGACGGTCGTCCTGAGACGTCAGGATCATCACCAAGCTGTTCCTCTTGCCGACCATCCACCAAAAGCACGCTCCCCAGTGGCAAATCGCGGCCCACACAGCAATGACCTTGATCAGACTCATCACGTTTAATGCCGTGATTGAACCAATATGGCCCTCGAAGCGTTCAAAATTGACCGTGAGCTTGAGGAGGCGCAGAACCCGCATGAGCCTCAGAAGACGCGTCAACTTCACCACTTTTGCGGCCTTCACAGTGAGCTGAGTGTCAGTGTCTGGCATGCAAGCACCAGCGATGACTTGCCATGGCACAGTGCCCATAAAATCAATCCAGAACCATCCACGAAGGTAGTGTACTACAACGCTAGCCTTCTTGGTAACAAGGGTTCCCTCAGGCCGGCGTTTGTCATTTTTTTCTGAGCGGTAGCCAGTGAAGAAGTTCATCACCATATCGGACAGGAAGATGCAGAAGGTGAGCCATAGCCAGAAATCGTCGAAGCCGGGCGCCGTGCCAAACTCGGCCAGCTGGAACGGGATCACCACGCTGTCACACAGGACCAAGATTAGGACCAGCAGGTCCCATGCGAACCTCGGAGGCCATTCTGGATTCAGCACGCCGTCGATGCAAACAGAGGCGTGCCTCTGGTGATTCGACGCACTCTCTACCTGCATCAAGTACGGGGTATCTGGCACGCCTACGCTCGCACTTGCGGCGGATCCTGCGGCAGCGGACTTGCGCGACTCGCGGATCGTGATCTCGCAGTTTTCCTCTCCAGATGATCGAGGTGTGCCCGGCTGACCTAGAAGACGGCAGAACTGCTCTGTTCGAATGACCAGTCACGGATCAGCGCTGGCACCCCCCCCTCCCTGGGGAAGTGCGCTGGGGGCGGCGCCAGAGGCGCCGCCAGGGGGGCCCAGCGTAGATCCAAGAACTCTTCGCGGACCCTCGAACGTGTAAGGTAAGTTCGTGTCGTGACGACCTGGGCATCGTGGATCGTTGAACCCTGACCGATCAGCGGCTTTTCGATCGCCAGATCCTTCACTGGCTGACTCTGGGCCATCAGCGGGGTTCAAGCTTGAATGTCCGCGCAAAGGTCGCAGCCGCGTCGTAACGACACGAACCTAGCGAATGCGTTGTGACCTGCAGCAGATACGTACGGTAAAACGTTAGTCAGTGTGGGCCCCAAACAGTGTGTTTCCAGCAATATATGTGGCGCGATCTGCGTGGAGCAATGTATGTGGTGCAATCTATGTGGAGCAGGATTCCGATTTAAGCGGCCACCCAAAAGACGCCCCGAAGAGCCCCAAAAGAACGCCATGCCCAAATCGCCCCATGTCTTGAATAAAACGTACATGTTTAGCCATACTCGCCGTTTCTGTTCCCCAAAACTCCACAACGCTTCAAGAGGTCCCCCACATCGCCTCAAAACAGATCCAGAAGCCCCCACAAAGCCCCAAGTGGGCCCCAGAGAGCCCCACGACGGCCCGAGATAGCCCAACGACGGCCCAAAAAGAGCCCCGAAGCGGCCCAAGACGGCCCCAAGAGGCACCCAAGAAAGCCCCAAGACAGCCCCAAGAAACCCCAAGAGCCCCCCAAGGCAGCCCACGGGGGACCCACAAGGATCCAAAAGGGCCCCACGACGGTCCAGAAAGGTCTCTACAAAAAGGCGGAGGCGCCTAATAACAGGGACTCGCCTTCCACTCCGTTCGTGCTTCCCCCTTCTGCGCACACGACTGCTCCAGAAGCTGGGGCCCCAAGGGGTCAGCGGATTCGGACCTTTTAGTCGGATCCCACACATGCGATAGGTCAAATTCTTCACATGGGGCTGCGTCTGGCTTTCATACCACACAGATGGCTTTGTATCCTTAGCGTGTACAAGCTCACGTATTCATGATGCTTGCCTCGGTAATCCCACAAGTAATGTTGCCTGAACCTTCAGCCAGAAGATATGACTCCACTCTTCACTTGCAACTGGCCATGTTTTCGCACCTTGCACCGCATACATAATAAGGCGGGGTTCAGGATTGCACCCAGGGAAGCGCTGAAGGATCAACAAACACGCACAGTAGAACCCAAAGGGCACTCAAAGACTAACAGAAACCCCAACAAATCTCGCAAGATTCCCAGCAAGCCCTCCAGTGAGGAGGCCACACGATAATATCTGAAAATGGAAACAAGGACGCGTTCGCAAACGACAAATGTAGATTAAGAGGGAACATGGGGCAAGTGATACATAACATATGTGTAACAACGGCGAAGCTAGGTTAACAAGGAACCTTCGTCCTTTGGGGCTGTTTTCTCTCTCTCTCTCTCGTTCTCTCTCTCTTTCTCTCTCGCTCTCCCGCGCCCCGCATGTCGCTTGCGCGCCGATCCCGAAGGGCCAAGGTGCGTGGCGTGAAACGCCAAGGCCGTATTGCGTAAATATGTATATAAAAATGTAACTACATACGAACTAAAATATGGAAAGAACATATGTGTGTGAAGATATGTGTCTATACATATTTGAATATATGTACATACAAGTATATCTATATATATATATATACATATATATATATATATCGTAAGTTGGGGAATGTGAACAGAAGTGACCCAGACTTGGAAATCGGGTTCGGTTTCGGTTCGCGTCGCGCGTGCGGGCGAGGCGAAGCTGCGCGAGTTCCTGCACTGGTAGAGGCCGCATGGAACCCAAATCGCCGCCCCCCCCTCCCGGGCGAGCGCGTGTCATGTGGCTGTCCCGCACTTGTCCCGTGGTTGTCCCGCGGTTGTCCCGTGGTTGTCCCGTGGTTGTCCAGATGGTTGACCGCGGTTGTCCCGCGGTTGTCCCGATGGTTGCCCCAATGGCTGTCCCGATGGCTGATCCGATGGTTGTCCTCATGGTTGTCCGCATGGTTGTCCCGATGGTTCTCCCGACGGTTGTTATCCCAATGGTTGTCCCGATGGTTGTCCCGATGGATAGTGGTTGTCCTGGTGGATGTCCCGATGGTTGTCCCGATGGTTGTCCCGACGGTTGCCCCGATGGTTGCCCCGATGGTTGTCTGCAACGTTGTCCCGATGGTTGTCCCGATGGTTGCCCGGTGGTTGCCCCGACGGTTGTCCGGGTGGTTGTCCCGATGGTTGTCCCGATGGCTGTCCCGACGGTTGCCCCGATTGCTGTCCCGATGATTGTCCCGACGGTTGTCCCGTCGGTTGTTGTCACGATGGTTGTCCCGACGGTCGACCCGATAGAGAGGTCGATCGATAGATAGATAGACCGAGAACTAGATAGGTAGATAGATCGATCGATCGATAAATCGATGGATAGATCGACAGATAGAACGATAGGAGGATAAAAGATTCTGCCCGCCACCGTCACCGCCACTGCCACCGCCTCGCCATCAGCAACACCGCTGGCATCACCACTATCTGTCGCAGGCAGAGTATGGCGTCATGGTCAGCGTCGCTGCCCCCTCACCAGCACGACCGCTATCGATACCATTATTGTTACCATCGTTACTACTGGCACCACCACCATGCTACATAGAGAGGCAGATAGATAGATGGATCGATAGATAAACCGATTGAGCATATATATATATATATATATATATATATATGTAAATCGATAGATATATAGATAGATAGATAGATAGATAGATAGACAGGTAGCTGGATAAGCACATACATCAACAAATGAATATATCGGCAAATTGATCGTGGGTTGGGGGATATGAGCGGAACGTTGCCCGGGTGGTTGCCCCGATAGACAGTTAGATAGATAGACTGGTTGATGGACCGGCTCGATAGATATATTGGTTGGTTGGTTGATCGATAGGTCGACTGATTGATGCGTCGACTCGAAATACATATATATAATGATGAATAAATCGAAACATGGTAAGATTGATCGATTAATTCGGTGGCGGCAGGTGGGTGTCATCGCACATTGACCGCCTCCACCTTCCCTCACCCTCCACCCTACGTATCACCCGTACGGTGGTCCGATCGGTGTATATATACATATACCTATACGACCACCCTGCGGGTGATAAGGAGGTGAGGGGGGAGGGGGAACCAACGTCTCACTCAATCGATCTCGCTATCGATCTCGCTATCGATCTCACATTCGGTCTCACATTCGGTCTCACATTCGGTCTCACATTCGGTCTCACATCGGGACACCATCATCATCATCGACATCATCATCATCATCATCATCAACGTCATCATCATCATCATCATCATCATCATCATCATCATCATCATCATCGGGACACCATCATCATCATCAACATCATCATCACCATCATCAACATCATCATCATCATCAACATCCTCGTCGTCGGGACACCATCTTCATCAACATCATCAACGTCATCATCATCATCACCACCATCATCATCACCATTATCACCATCATCACCATCATCATCTCACAATCGATCTGACTATCGATCTCACAATCGATCTCACTATCGATCTCACAATCGATCTCACATTCGGTCTCACTACCGATATCACAATCGATCTCGCAATCGACGTCATCATCATCATCAACAACATCAACATCATCAACATCATCATCATCGCCATCATCAACATCATCATCATCATCATCATCATCATCATCATCATCATCATCATCATCATCATTACCATCATCATCACCATCATCATCATAATCATCATCATCATCATCATCAACATCATGATCGGGACACCGACGGGACACCGATGGGACACCGGCGGGACACCGGCGGGACACCGCGCGCCACCGGCCGCCTGGTGGAGAATCATTTGGTCCGGCCGCGCCTCAGCCACAGAGGACACCACCGGGACACCGGCGGGACACCGCGCGCCACCGGCCGCCCGGTGGAGAATCATTTGGTCCGGCCGCGCCTCAGCCACAGGAGACTTTCCTCTCGCCCGCCCACGCAGCTTCGCCTCGCCCGCACGCACGGCACGCACGAACACGAAACCGAAATCGATTTCCCGGTAGGGGGGCTCTCCGTTCCACTTCGATCTCACCCCCTCACCTCCGATATATATATATATATATATATATATATATATGGCGCAACATTTGGTGCAACTTATCTTGTAATACCGATTATGTTCAGCACACGACGTGCAACGCATGTTGTGCAATATCTGCGGTGTAATCGACGTGGTGCAATCTATATGATGCCCGCGACATGGACTAATATGTATGGCGCAATCTATACGGTGCAGTGTACGCGGCGCGTCTATGCTGTGCATTTCACCATGCCGAACTTGAAATTGTCAACCCCACCGCTCGCGCAACATTCCACCCACCCACCCGCAACTTGGCTTGCAAAACCCATTCGGCGGCGATTGCGATGAGCGCTATGCGCGGGTTGGTGCATCTCTGCAGCCGCGCTAACCCGCGCGCGACGCGGCCAGCTAGCTTGGAGGTGGCGTTGACCGCTGGGCGCTTCCCAACGAGCACTTCAGTGCGAGTCGGCGACATTTGCGGGCGCGGATGCCAACGTCGCCAACGCTAGACACGATGGTGGCCGTAGCGATGCTGGTTACGATGGTGACAACGATGCCGGCAAGGGCAGTGACGGCGCCGATGCTGATCACGCTTCGACGATGACGTCGTCCTCGCGTCGGTGATGAAGGTTTTGGAAGAATTTCCACACGCGCGCGCGCGGCCGACGCGTGAGACTGGCCCGCATGGAATTATTCGACACGGATCGTGCCCATCCACCAAGCACGCGCGCAAGGGCGTCCGAATGATCTCGACATGCGAAAGAGGCCCGTTCGGAAGAATTTAATCAACATGTGGAAAGCTCC